ATTTCTTAAAACAATGAATTACTCAGCTGAAGAAGAAGAAGAAGAAGAAGAAGAACCTACCACGCCCACAGCATCATCTTCTTCACGACCACCACGACGTCGGGTTAGCTCCCGACCGCGCAACCCTACGAATCGATACACTCCTAGTTAGTTGTATTGTATTCCGGGAATTTTGTGGACATATATATTTATTTTTTTCTTTCTTGGTGGATTATGTGTAATGATATTTGGACATATTTGGATTTTTATATTTGGACAATGAATTGTTGTGCTTCATTTTTCTTTCTTTGACGAATGGATTGATATGAGCTTGTGTAATTAATATTTGGTTGTTGAATCAATCTCTTTTTTTTTGGTCGAAACGATAGAGGATTTATATATAAACGCACAAATGTGCAAAGGTACAGCCACTAGCTGAATAATACAACCGACGACTGAGAAAACTGGGAGGACAGGTCCGAAGACCGCCTAGATCCGAAAACTAGCAATGCTAGAATACTCGGCAACACACTAAAAACAAACACACAAAACAACGACAAAAAAAACAACACAAGACCCCCACAGGGTAATTCCCGAGTGTCGGACCCCCACAGAGTAATGGAAATGACACTCGGGTGCACAGAGGCCAATGGCCCAGACCTAAAACACTACGACAAACACAAACACAAACTCAAATCAAACACAAAGCAACACAAACAACACAAAAATTACTACAATAACATGAATACACAAAGCCCTTCCTCAGTAATCAAATAGACCCAACCAACAGCGAACAATCGACACAAAAATTATTTCAAGCCTGAAGAGCCGCTATCGAAACTGCGCAACCGCCTATACAATAGCCAACTCCGAGCTCGAACTAATCCCAGAATCGACCGGTCACCAACCGAGACCCGCACCATTCCTGGCCCGAACCCGTCTAACACCACTAGACTAGCTCGAAAAAAACCAGGTCCCCCCGCCGCCTAACACCACTAGCCGAACAGGGGGAGAGGGCAAAATGGCACGGTTCCCCAACCTCGACCGCCACCACAGGACAACTGCGCAGCAACCGAGTCCTCTTCCCATTCTCAGACCCACGCACCGAGACCGCCATTGAACTCCGGTGGCCAACAGCCAAACCCCCACCTGAAGCTCTGTCGGAGAAAACAGAACCGACCGGAGGGAACATCAATCTCAGGCGAATACAGAGAGATAAAGGCTTACCACTGCCAATCGAAGGTCCGCCGGCAACTTGAATGTCATCGCGCACCGGAATCCGACCAAAAGTGACGAGACCTTGGAACTCTAATTCACCGTCGCTCGAGGGCCACACCACGCAGGGCCGCAGCGAATCGGGCCGCACGGCATCCAGGACGGGAAGAGCGGTTAGTGGCGACCGCTAGCCAGACCTACTGTCACCGAGGAAGGCAAAACGCCGGCAATTTGAGGGGCTGCGGTTAGGGTTTTTCGAATCGCAGAGAGAAGAGAGAAGAGGGGTTCTATTAGTTGATGACAATATCCCAAAAGTTTGGTTAAAACGGCAAAAAGTTGTACGGTCGTGATTTTACCGGCAATTAGGCCAATAATTATTCATATACATGATTTTATATTAAAATTGATGATGATGTTGGACGTTGGCGGTTAACATATTCACGACACTTTAACCTTTTTCTCCT